AATATCTTTTTGTGAGAAACAGCCATTTGGCATCAACACTGGAAAGAAGTTTTTTTAAAGAGCCTATATCATGCAAAATAAAGATACTTGGGATTTTAAATATGTTATGTTTTTCCTTCATCAAAATCTGCACAGTTGGAAGAACACAACTTCGTTGCATTTTGACACCCATGTAGTTTTTAAGGCATTATTTTATCATAGATCTGTCTATAGATGACATTAAAAGACTTTTTTTTTTTTAAGCATGACATAGTACCTTTAATGTGCTGTATAGCTGTTTGCTGGAATTGAATTGATCAACCTCATTAAAAGAACAGACTGTGAGCAACTTAGGTTTACGCTTTTCATACTTTTGGCTTTTTAAAAATGTTTGTCTTTTTTTAACATTTTCATTTGATCTTTGTCTTCCTAGGCTTTCTGAAGGGAATTTAATAAAGTAGTTTTCTGAAAGGTTTGTTTCAAATTTAGTTTTTTGCTTGAAAATAAGTAAATATTTTTTGAAACATGACATACTGAATTGTAAATGCATCTGAAATAAAACCCCAAAATGTTTTTTTTTTTTGTGTTGTTTAAATTGCTGGTTCCCATAGTGTGACTTGGGGCCCCAATGAAGGTCACAAAATAAAACAAAGTAGTGGAAGAAAAGGGCAATTGAAATGAGGATTGTAGATTTTTAAAAGAATTTGAGTTCCAAAAGTTTGAAATAACCCTTTTTGTGATAAGTGGCATTAAATAGTTTTTTTTCTAAACTGGATTTTAAAATACACATGTTTCTTATAATATAGGTCCTGTAAAAATATGTTTATTTCTAAAGATAATTTGTCAACCATAAAGCTTATCTAGAGTTCAAGTCTTTATAAGAGGCAGTCATTAAAAAGAACATTTGAGACAAGTTGGTCTTTAAAAGGATTGAAGTGACTAAAGCGAACACAGCAGCAGTTATGAAAACAACTAAACTATGTTAACGTTTCTAAAGGGGAAAAACAAAATGGATCACCAGTGTTATGGGACACAATATTGGTTTTAAAAATATCTTTTCAGATTGATTGTTATTTACAAAACAGGGCAGAAGTCTTATGGTCAGCACAAAATGTGGAAGACTGCTGATTTGGCAGCCCTTGAGGAGAAAGTCACTGCAACTCTTCATAGTGAGGATGAGCTATGAAAGGTCGTTGCTAAAGAAGCTGGTAGAGTGCTGCTTCCAAGCACATTAAAATGTGAGTGGAAGCAAACAGTGAGGTCAGAAATGTACACAAGCAACAGGAATGAGCTTAGGGGGGTCATGGAGCGAAGCCCCTTCAATAGTTTGAGGAGGTTTACAAGCTATGGATTTCAGCTACGGTCAGTGCTTCAAAAGCTGTAACACACAGACATTGTTTGTGATGAACCTTTTGCATTATGTTTAGCCATATATCAATCAAGGATAATGTTAAAGGTGCTTTACTTCAGCAAAGAATAAAAATTACAGAACTTTGTCTTGGTGGTCCTAAGTCCTCTTTTCAGATGAAATCTTAATTATACATGTTATTTGGAAGTCGAGGTTCAAGAGTTGGGAGGAAGAGTTAAGAGGCACAAATTACTTGAGATCCAGCATGATGCTTCATTAGTCAAGGGTTATTTAGGAAGCTGTGTAACAGTTTTATTAAATCCAAAATCAGCACAGTGGTCTACAAGGAAATGTTTTAACTTTAATTCAACTCAATTCAAAAATACGTTATCAATCCCAAATTTTCGATTCAGTTCATTTATATAGCGACAATCCACAGCACGTCATTTAAAAGCACTTCACAGTTCACCAGATCATACAGTCAAATTGATTCAAATTTTCTATCTAAGAAAAACCAGTTGATTGCATTGACTCGAATGCAATCCCTCACACTAAGCTTGTAGCGACAGTGGAGAGGAAAAACTCCCTTTTAACAGGAAGTAACCTCCAGCAGAACCAGGCTCAGGCCCAAAGGAAAATTAAATTGCCTGTGACATATTTTACCGTCACATTTATGGTTGACGATTTATGGTTATGATGCCTCTCTATAGCTGCTGGAAATATTTTGTAACATGTTTACATTAACACTGGACTATGAAATAATAAAATTGTGTAAGAAATGTTTGCTTTAATGTGATGGGTCCGGTTTTCATTGAATAATTGTACATTTCTGATACAACAGTTTAGAAATTGTATTTAGCTTGATTTTGAGCATTAAAATAACAGAGGGCTTTGTTTATTTGGGTAACATCAAAATGTAATCTCGGTTACATACTCATAATACAATGCTTATTCTTTTTTTATTCATAGTCCAATTGGATTTAACTATTCAAGTGTATATATGATTAGTAAGGTATTATTCAAACTGGAGGTCTTCAACAGGGGGTAAACAGATAAATGGAGGCAGAAGACGTCTTTCAGTCATCAATGCACACATTCAGCGACACACAGGAGCTCTTTCAAGCTGGGCACCGTTTCATTCACAACACCTGTCCCATCAACAAGGAATCAGAATCAGAAATACTTTAATAATCCCAGGGAGAAATTATTTTGGTTACAATATTTCATATGTAATAGAGTGACTATAGGACCAGTTTGATATAACACAATTTCATACAATATATGTAATTAGGGGGTCGCTGCTCTATTTTGCCATCAGTTTGGAGGTCATTGGCCTCCTGGAAAATGTTGAAAACCCCCTGAATTAAACGATTACATCTAGTTTGGACAGGAAACCTTTTCAGGGTTAAATAAGGACAGGTGCAGCTATAGGTTGGAAGTTTTCAGAGGATTTAACTGAAACAAAGTAACAAAATGTGGAAATTTTATAAAACAGTAAACGTTACTGAGTAACAATAAGTGGTCTGTAGTTATCTGGAACATTTTTCTCACAATATACATTATTTTCTACATTCTGGTGATTTTTAGAGAAGGGAGGTAAAGCAGAATGTGCCCTACTAGAATAATTGCATCTTAAATATACTTTAAACTAAGAATTTCACAACTTTGTTCATTAATAATTCTCTGCAGTTCAAGTAAATTAAACAATTGGAAGCTAATAAGCTATTACTGGATTACTGCCACTGATACAGAAACCAGTGGAAACTTCACTGTGTATGAATATTTGCTAATAGGCTAAAGATGAAACAGCTTCAATTGTTATGTTATTAGTTTTTCTTACAATAGTCAAAACAGCTAAACAATTCAGACCTTCTAGGAGGCTGTAGATTTTATAAAAAGTCACCATGGAGACAGCACTTCTCTGGATGTTTCAGTTTGGAAGGTGTGATGGAAATTAAGTTTTTAAACATATTCAGTGGACCAAAATAAAGATAAATGAATAAGATAAGTAATAATAAAAGGAAAACATCCCTGTGGTTTCTCCTCTATGAATCCAAGATGAATGAGTTGTTCTGCACATCTTCTCTGTATGTGGTTGGTCTTTTCTTGGGTGGCTGATATTTTGAAACATAAAATACAAAGGTTCCTTTTCTTTTTGTGGAGCTGGGTTTGAGAGGCAAACCTGGAAGCTTTAAGAATTAAAGCTAATTAATTAAACCAACACAAATAAAAATATTTGTGTTGGTTTAATTACTCCTAAAAGCCAATGGGAGATTATTAAACTAGACTGAGTTGAGTTTTAATGTCTGTCATATTTTAGTGTGAGAAATTGGGAATATGGAGTGAGAGTGTGTGAAGACACTGAGATGGGTGAGTCTCACCCCCAATGGGTGAGAGTTGACAACCCTGCATCCCAACGGCGTAGATTTGATTTCAACTTTGGTAGGGACACAATTGGTCTGATGTCACTGGTCCTATGCAAACATATGCATGCTCATTTTTTTATGCTTGACATGAAAATCAGGGTGTATTTCATTTAAAGAGAAAAAAGCAGCATTTGTTGCTACATTTACACAAATTTTATAAGCACTACACACACTAGATGCTGTTTATCAATGGCTAAAGCTTAACTGGCTCTGATGAATGAGGAATTAGGACTTTTTTCCACTTTGAGATTTGCATTTGAAATTACCAGCGACTAAGACAGTAGGTAAATCTGTGCCTATTTAACAGAATATAGTTTAAATATGTCTGCTATATGTGGATTAATACTTTTTTTAAAAGATATAGTATTGTGCAGAGGTAAAACCCACTCTTATCTTTTAAATGTTCTCTTTGTATCATGAAACAAAGTGAAATAATAGATTCAAGGGACGCCAAATGTATTGTATTTACATGTGCATTGGAACTAGAAAATGAACTGACATTCACTCTACGAGTTGTACATCTAGGCTGTAGTTACTCTGTTTAATCCATTTCATGTATTTTATTTAGGGCTGAAACAATTCATCGGATTAATCAATTATTGAAATAATGTCAACAAATTTAGTAATCGATTTATCGTCAACTGGAGTATAAAGACTCTAAAACATGTCTTTAGCTCACAAAGCAACCCACTTGGAGCAGGAATTAAACCAAAATTGTAAAAAATAAATAAAGAAATAAACATTTTGCATTTTAGATTAAAAAAATGTTTTCGTCTATCAATATTCTCCATCCAGAACTCATGTACTGCTAAAACAACGCTGTATTGTAAATTATAAACTAATACTAATATAAACTAATATATATAAGTTATGTTGTTCACATGTAATTGTTGGTAAGGCAAGGCAAGGCAATTTGTATAGCACAATTCAGTACACAGACAATGCAAACTGCTTTACATGAATAAAATATATGAAAATAAAACAGAATCAAAGCAAGTAGGAAAAAAATTTAATTAAATAAAAAATACAGAAACAAAAAAGAACATTAAAAACAGTTGGACTAAAGAAAATAAAAAAGTTGAACTAATGATGTTTCAGTTGAACTGGTGGGGACAAGTAGGTCGGTCCAAAATTTTGTTAGGGACAGGGCCCTATGCTGTGGAAAGTTGCCTCCATTGTAGAAACTACAAACATGGCCATATATGGTGGCGTTTCTTGTCGCACATATATTGCGTCATTCGCGGAGGGATCCCTGCTTGTCAGAACCATGGTGAGATCGCAGAGAAGGCAGTGAACGGGAGAGAGACCTAACGTATATCTCCAACCCTCAACAGCGCTGAGACGGAGACACTTCACCCGTGAGGAGGTTCTGTCGTGGACATCTCAGTAAAACAAATGTTAACTTTCGGATAATATCGCCTGCTAGACTGCCTAGCGTTCCTGGGAGCTGGCTTTCAGCTGACTTACTGGCGTTCTGCGGTGGAAATAGCACAAAAAAATGTCGTCTCCGAGTCCGGGTAAAAGGCGAATGGATACTGATGTGGTGAAACTGTATCCTTTTATTAACTGAACATAACAGTATGTGTTCATGTATGCCTGAGTCCTGCCTGAGCTGTTTAAACGAACGCTGCTCTGTAGTCTGCCTGTGACTAAACATATTGGAATTTATCTGTGAATTACTGCTGTTTTGGTGTCAACAACATTTTGTTAGCAAAGCCAAATGTTAGCTATTTCTGTCCTCAGCTGCTTATCAGGACAACTCCATTAGCCAATCACATCGGTCACAGTTTCCTGTAGCATTTCTACACAATATGTGGCAAACGTTAGCTTAGCTTGTTTTTGTGTCTATTTGAAAACCATGTCTCCATGAAGCTGATGTTCTGCTATATGGATATAATCAATATTGAAGCACTAACTCATCCATGACTACACGAATCACCTTGTGTCAGTTTGGTTTCTTTGTCCAACTTGCTTTTTTTTTTTTTTTTTTTTTTTTTTTGTAAGGAGGTGGGAGTTGAGACAAACTGCCCCCTCAAACGTTTACGCAGCTTGTTTACATAACGTAAGGCTAACTGAAGAAGCTTTTTGTTTTTACTCCAGCAATAAAACGGTTGTCGTCGTTGAAGCGACATTCTTTCCGTCTATATTTAGTTGCTTTTTTCCAGCTACACGTTGTAATTTTGTTGTTAAAACGCAGCAGAGCTGTGCTGTGTAGTCTGTTGGTTAATTTCAACATCAAAATGGCCACCTGATCACTGTATCTCACTCTTCTTCCACTGTCTCGTGGCTCATTGCTGTTAATTTAAATGGCTGTTTTTTTTCGTTTTCGTTTTGATTTTAGACCTTTTGAGATACAAAGCTGCATCTAGTTTGTTCCCTACTTTTTTTTTTTAACCGTCCTCAACTGACTTGTTGTTTTTTTGTGCTGATGTGTTTTGGCTCTGACAATACAGAATTGTGCTGTTGAACCAGAGCATCAAAACAGGTTTCCAGCCCCACAAAATGTTCCTGAACATTATGAACTGATAGCCCCTCTCTCTTTTTTTTTTTTTTTTTTGTTTTTGTTCCAGCACAGTGAAAAACCCAGCTAAGTGATTGGACAGCCTGTTACTATCCGGAAACCATAAGGAGGAGGGGCTTAGAACAGCTGATGGGATGGCAGTGGAGCTTAGTTAAATAAGGGGTTTGGAGTGGGCTGGTCAAATGAAATAAGCAAAGGTTGCCCAAACAGGTTTAACTGATTTCTTTATGAGGGGGAGACAACTATTTTGTTTTAAATTCAAAGCTACACTTAATTTTTTTTTTTGTTTTTGAAAAAAATTGAGACGATTGCATTTAAATTTTTCTTGAAAAGCTTTTGCTTCAATGTAGCTGCCTCTATAACAAATATTAGTCTATTTTGGTGTCAGTCAGTCTGTGAATATATTAAATTCTTGCCAGAGATTCTCAATTAGATCTAGATCTGGACTTTGACTTGGGCAGTTGTGCACTGGAGATTCTTCCTGCTATTCGGTGTAGTAATGCATGTACGTTTAGAAATGCTTCCCCAGGACCAGATCTTTTGCAAACTTTTCTAGGTTGTTTCAAAGCATTGCCTTGTATTTGCAGCCACCCCTCATCTCCTGAAATCTGACCAGCTTCCCCTCAGCATGGTGCCATCGCTGCATTTTGTTGCGAGGCTTGCATGCATTTCTGGTTCTCTGCCTCACTCACTGTTTCGCATATTGGCTAAAAGGCTTCAGTATTGGTCTTTTTCGACCCGAGCACATTCTTCCCCATTTTGCACTGTTCTCCCTTACGGCTCTCTGCAAAGTGCATTTGGGACTTCTCATTGCTATCTTTACGGCCAAATCTCTTCTTTTTAAAATTCTTTTGTTGAAACTTTTTCCTGATGTCCAGATTGGTGAAGTGCATGACTAATATTGTCCCATTAACATATGACCCGAGCTCTTGTAGCACCTCCAAAGTCACCATTGAGCCCTTGGCCACTTCTCTGGCTAACATGTTCCTTTCTTGTCTTGTCGGTTTAGTTGAAATGCTGGCATGGCTGCTTTGCGGTTGAAATAAACTGCTTCTTTGCTAGATTGGAAACTGCTATGTGAGCTATTCAAACCTAAGGACATTGTATTTGCTTTTTTCTATGTAGCCCTGCTTAAAATGTTTTTGCTAAACTCGCTCCCTTGGATTTTATTTAGGGGTATCAAAATAAAAATATGCTGTATTTGAAATGTTGAGCTATGAATTTCAGCTCTCCATGTCTTAATAAATGTTGGCCTGTTGGATGGATCTTTACTACCTTTTCTACCACCACCAAATGTGAATTATCATGCAACAAATATGGTAAAGCTCTTGGTATCATGACAATAGGCAGGGAGAAAACATGATACTTGAGTTAAAGGTGCTGGGTATTGAGATTGATATGGTATCTTAATACAAAGTAAGATTGTAGCCATGTTATCATTATTAACAATCTGATCTAGCTTTTGAATTATTCTTTCTTGGGTTTTAAAAACATTTATAAATGAAAATGCATGTGCTGTTTGTGAAGGGGTCTAAAGCCGACTGGAAAGACGTGTTTGAAAGTCAAAGAACCATACATAGGCTTCAGCTCAAATGCTTTAGAATATGGAGGAAATCTGTCAGAAGTTGCTTTACGTTCATGTAGTTTACTAATGCCAGCTGATCAGCTTGATGTCACCGACCAGAATACTCACAAAGCAGAATTTCCGCTTTTCTTTTCTTCTACAAATGCTTTCTCCTCAGCTGTGTTTTAACTGCTACCTTGTGTATTTTCATCCCAAAATCTTCACATCAAAGATATTCCTCTGTGTTTGGTTTTGTCTAATTTCGGTCTACTCCAGGAGGCATTTTGTTGCATTTGCTTATGACAAACTGCCCTTGTTTGAACAAGTTTTTGTTTCTCCTACTTGACACCCTGTGTGTTTATTGCTGACAGTTGTGACAGACAGCTCAACTCCCCCCACTTTTCTAAGTGCATAAAACCTTGCAGTAGTTGAACAGCCACTGTCCTCATGCAGCTGCCTGACTGACAGACTGGATTTGCAGTATACCAACTGCTCAATTCTGCACAATGAACTATGTTTTTTTAGCAGAGCATTCTACATTAATGGTCAGCAGCAAGTGTTGAAGGGACAAGCATGTGCTTGAATGCCAGACCTAAACATGAGCGTTGCTGCCTCTATGGGGAGTTTTTGGTGTCAGAATTAAAGCAGTTTGCCTCATTATGATTGGTTTCTTAAATGAGGGGATAAAAATTAGCTAAAGCCTTTCTGTGGTGCCTTTTTTGCCCCCTCCTTGAGTGTAACTGCAGCCTGAAACTACTTTTAAGATGGCTTCAGAGAGGTTGTACGAATTAATTTTCTTTGAACACCAGAGAGTTAAGGATCTGGAGCGGAGGCCATGAGGGAATATTGTCATGATAAATCTCAGAATGACCTCAACGTGCAACATCACTGGTTTTTAAGCTTTTTTTTTTTTTGCTTTTTTTTTCAAAGCTAGGCTTCAACTTGTATTCCCATCTTGCTTTATATTAATAATATCATTGCTGCTTTGATCATTTCTGATTTTTGCACATTTCTTCATGTTCTTTTACTCCTTTTAAACTGACACATCAGAGATGTTCAAACTGAACCTCTTAAACCTAAATTTGACCCTTTTGTAAGTTTGATCCTTGATACAGTCCGTGTTGCTCGTAGATCTCTTTGGAACACGATTTTCCATAATGAGGATCTTTGCAGATCGTCTCATTGTAAAGAGCTTTAGGTTCAGCTTGTTGTGTAGGATTAGCCTCGACTCTCTCTACCATTTGCATGGTTTCATAGTAATAGTTGTTGAAAAAGTTGCTGTTTGAATTTGAGGACATTGTGATTCATCAAGTGACGGGGCTGTGGTAGAAATGCTGGCAAACTAGAAATGCTTCTAATGGGATACATTTTTTAGGATCCACAAATTGGTGACTTAAGTTTTTGCAAGTTTCTGTCAAGTAAATCCACACTGCTTATTAGCTTCATTTGAGTCAAGTTAATGACTTTTTCAGGTCATGTAAAGCGATTGGTGCATAATGATGCTCTCTACATGGTGCATTTCTCCAAAACACACCTATGTAACGGAGAGGATCGGATCCGTCATTGAAAGAGTCATATGACCCAGACTGCAGCTATACAGCAGTATGAGCTCCATTCTGAGTGCTAACTTAGCTAAAAGTTGATAGGCAGCAAAACAGAAGTGACACTTAGCCAATCAGACATATTTTTGGTTCTTTTATGTAGCATTTATTCTAAAAGGATGATTATGGGCCTCTTAATTTTGTGACATTCTAGCGTTGCTAATTGCTTTCAGTTGCTAACTGAAAGCTGACTTTGTATTTAGTGGGGATTTTATTTAAAACAAATCAACCCAAACTTGTACATAGTTATAAGATGGATGGTTAGAATTAGTATTATTTTTTTTGTAGTTGTACATTTAGTCCTGCTGGAAGGTGAATCTCTGTGTGTGTCTGTCTGAAACCTTTTGTCACCTACAGATTTTTCCTCCAAGTATCTCCCTTTAGTTAGCTCCAGTAATCTTCCATCCAACAAGCGACATGCTCCCCCTGCTCTGCAGTGAAAAGGTGACTACCGTGTTTCGCTCTTAGCTTTCACATGCTGTTAGCTTTTGCAGTTGCCACAGTGGCGTTGGGTGCTGGAGTTTCCCCTTCAATCGAAGGGTTGTTGGTTCGAGCTTTCAGCGTCATTGTGTCCTTGTCTCAAAAACACTTCACCTGCATTGCCTACTGATAGTGGTCAGAGTGGTCAAAGTACTGTGTAAGTACAGTCCATTGACATAAGTTTATTTGCAAGCTCATCTGACCAGAGAACTTTCCTTCCAGTTCATGAGTTTTGGCAGTTTTTATTTCTTGCCACTTTTACCTACAAACCAGATTTCTAGAGTGCATGGCAGTTTATTTCACCATATACTCCAACCTGAGCTTTGGACCTCTGCAGCTTGGTTTGAGCTACCCTAAGCTATTTATGGTGATTGAACAACAGTTT